GGAGATTCCGCATAATTTTGGCATGTGAATCTTGTATTGCTTTTTGTTGTATGTTGTATATTTATTTTAATCAATTTTTTTAAAAAAACAACAACATCAAACTGCTAGGTTGGCAGGAGCTGGGATTGACCAATGGGAGCTTGCCACTGTCACACGGATTCAAACCGCCAACCTTCCAACCAGCAAGCCCAAGAAGCTCAGTAGGTCACACTGCCACCCATGTCCCTGTGTGTTATCGGCATACTGGTGGCCCCTTCCTCCAAAACTCCTCTGGACCGCACCCCATGACTTCATATAATTTTATATAGCGTATAGATCTTAAATAGCGCTCGGGAGAGAATAGTACCTTGCAGAACTCCATAGCACAAATGCTGGGGTGGGGGTGAAGAGCAGTCACCGAGCGCCACTTTCTAGACATGACATTGAAGATATGAACAGAACCACTGTAATATGGTGCCTCTGACACCCATCTCACTAAGTCAGTTCAGGAGGATACCGTGATTGACGGCATCAAAATTAAAAAAAGGGCAACCCAAATGATCACAACATGTCAGGGAATAGTCTAAGGATGAGGACTGGGGAATGCATTCCAGAGATTCCATACTGTTGGAAGTCTCATGGAAGACAGGAGACGGATGTAATGTTTGTTGGTTTCCTGTTCCTTTGTTGTTCAGTTGCTCTTGGCTTTCACAGAGAGAGCATGTATATTTCTTTTCTGTCTGCATAGTTAGAAATAAAACGCTGTTAGCAATGTAGCTCATACTATCTCGGCTCCTTCCCAGCGTGCTGGATATTTTGCACAATGGGGGAACGTGCTTGGAACCTCATCAAAGGCTCAGGTTGTTAATCACAGACTCAACCAAAAGAGAAGCTCAGTCGAATGCAAATCTGACAGTCCACAGTGTGTTCAGAAGCAGAGAGAGAGACAGAAGCTGAACAGCTGAGGGAGGAGTTGCCCAGGTACGAGACAATGACAAGGGAACCCAAAAGGAGGGGGCAGCTAGTTGAGATGTCACTTGAGAGTGTGGGGAACCCCCCTCACCACAGACTCGGAGGTCTGAACATATCAGAGAGCAAAGAAGTCAGAGGGAGGGAGGAACTTCCCATTGGCAAGTAAAATGCTACGGAAGTCGGAAGGAGGATTTAGAGCAGCCAACTGCCCTCCTTGCAGATAGCTGTGTATTTCTGCTTGCAACGGAAATTGGATTTCTAAAGAAAAAAATTTTTTGAATTAGGCACGATCGGGGAAGATGCAAACAGGAAGTCCATCTCCCCGTCTTGTAAATAATCTAAAGCAAGGAATAGCTAACTAAAGTTGAGAGGATTTTTTCCCTTTTATTGGCTAAAAGATATTAATTGCACGATTTGGCAGTTTAAGCAATTTTACTGGAGGATAAGAGCTAATTTTCGGAGCTGAGGTGCCACCCCCCGTGACCCGGGAGTGATCCGTGAGAGAGCCTGTTGGAGAGATATTGAAGAGTTTGACAGCTGTCAAATTAGCTGTCAAGATGGAAAAAGCGAACTTTGTTTTCTATTGTCTCTGCTGGTTATATTTGTTACAATTGGGCTATACTTTGTTGAAAACAAGGAAGAACTGACACAAATTAACTTGATTGTTGGATTTGACCTGGAATGAATACTAAGTAACCAAAATCCCTCTAGAGGGGGTTTTGGGACATTACAAGAATGGCTGAAGGAGGCAAAACTCAAGCTAAATTGGACAGAGTTTTCTTTCTCTTGGGAAAGTTACAAGGCCAAATTGATGTTTTGGCTACCCAACGTTGCAACTCTGGACTTAACAGTAAATAAGTTCATTGAATTTGATAAGGATTTGATCCAGGAAGCCCAAGCAGCTGGACAAGAGGAGAACTTTGAGAACTTTGAGAGTGTGGAGAAAGAGACACATGTTGTTTTTGAGGAAAAGGAAGGAGGAGATATAATGTTGCAGATGGCAAAGGAGAGCCAGAGGCCTGACATGATGGTTATAAAGGAAAATAAGAACTGGATGATGAAAATCTGGTCTGAATTGGTGATTGAAGAATGGAGAGATCTCTCCATGTGGAGATCTGAAGACCCAAGGATTACAAATTTGATTAAGGTGAAAGTGGGAGCTTTGGGGACATTTGGATTTGAAAGGAGTAAGAAACAAGATTTGGGCTCCACTTTTAAACATGGAGGTCTGGCTGGAAGAAACATTGTCCTCATCGGGCTAGAGCATCTCCGAGATCTGGTGTTTAACATTAAGGACTATCAAAAAAACCGGCAGAGAGGAACTGAGAGACAATTAAGAGCCTCGGACATGAGATCCCCAGGCTGATAGTAGATTAAGACTGATGGACACTTGTTGGGGATTGAAACCGGGAAAGGGGATGGGGTGGGGTTTGGGGATCCAAAGGGTGTATAATTATAATTCGTCTTTTTATTTTTATTCTGTTTTGTTATTTGTATGAAAAATGGGGAATTCGTGCAAGGGAATTTGGGTCGACTTTAGAAAAAGGATTTAAGAATGAGTACTGATGTATAAATTTTGATGTTTATAAGGTAAAATCGGTTTTTTATAATGAATTAAACATAAAAAGGTTAAAAAATTGGGGATAAGAACTTGTTGAACTAACAATTTGAATTGGAATATAAGAAGGGGAGGTGTGGGAAGTCAGGGAAATATGTTACTGAAAAATAAGGATTGTAAACTGTATATGTTTTTAATTTTTAATTTTTCTTTTTGGCTTTTTAATTTACTAAATGGAAAATCTTCAATAAATATCTATTAAAAATAAATAAATAAATAAAATACAACATTAAAATGTTAAAATGCAGCCTCATCACAGGAGGAGAAAGGAAAAAGAAAGAGAGGGAGGGAGGGAATCAAATTGACTCCAAGCCAAAGGCCAGGCAGAACAACTCTGTCTTACAGGCCCTGTGGAAAGAAATCAGATCCTGCAGGGCCCTGGTCTCAACAGGCCAGAGCCAGTGTTTTAAAAGCCCTGGCTCTGGTTGAGGCTAATGTAACTTCCTTTGGGCCCGGGACCTTTAGGGTGTTGCTATTTATGGACTTTATTTATGGGCTTTTTATTCTTTCCTTTTTGGACTCTCCCAAAGGTGAGGGTGGGATGGAACCTAGAAGCAGGTGCACTCAACATTGGTGTCAAATGCCCTATGCCACTCCACCACTGCTTTTAAAAACCATGTTGCTTCTTTACAATGCATTCAAAACACAGTTTTTTGAGTAATGTAGCCGAGTCCCTAGTCTAATATTCTGGGATGTGATTCAGTCCCACAAAATATTGAGAGTCTGGAGGCATTCCTGGAAGACCTCCTCCCATTCCACACGGTCAGCATTTTGTCTTGTTCTTTGTGTGCAGGTGTGTGGGACTGTAGTTGGTCAACTGTCTGAGATTTGTCCTGGAACCACAGCAAAGCACTCACCTCTTCCTTTGCTTCCTGGGCAAGTTATGGATACACTGTTCCGACTCTTCATGAAAAACCCAGTTCCCCTTTTTCTACCAGATGGCCCCAAATGTAGATGCCCAGAATATGGGGATTGTCCAACTGCTCCTGAACTTCAGATGGATGTGGATTCCCATATTGCATGGGAAAGTCGTTAAAACAACAACAATAATTTATTTATACCCCGTCCGTCTGGCTGGGTTTCTCCAACCACTCTGGGTGACTTCCAGCAAAATATTAAAATACAATAATTCATCAGATATTAAAAGCTTCTCTAAACAGGGCTCCCTTGAGATGTCTTCTCAAAGTCAGACAGTTGTTTATTTCTTTGACATCTGGTAGGAGGGCATTCCACAGGGCGGGTGCCACTACCGAGAAGGCCCTGTATCTTCACTTCCTGCAGTGAGGGAGACAGCATAAGACCCTGGGAGTTGGACCTCAGTGTGCAGACAGAAGGATGGGGGTGGAGACACTCCTTCTGGTATACTGGGCCAAGGCTGTTAAGGGCTTTAAAGGTGAACCCCAACACTTTGAATTGTGGCCAGAAACGTACTGGGAGCCAATGTAGGTCTTTCAGGACCGGTGTTATGTGGTCTCGGCAGCTACTCCCAGTCATCAGTCTAGCAACCACATTCTGGATTAGTTGTACTTTCCAGGTCACCTTCAAAGGTAGCCCCACATAGAATGTGTTGCAGTGGTCTAAGTGAGTCCTCAACACCAGCCCGCCCCGTCACCCAAGAACAGCACTTCTATCGTCATGATTCAACCTCAATCAGTCACCTGCCATCCATCCTCCAACTGCCTCCAGACACTCACACAGGACCTTCACCGCTTTCACTGGTTCTGATTTAAAAGAGTTAGAGCTGGGTATCATCCGCATACTGATGGACACCCAGACCAAACCCCCTGATGATCTCTCCCAGCAGCTTCATGTAGATGTTAAAAAGCATGGGGGAGAGGATGGAACCCTGAGGCACCCCACAAGTGAGAGCCCATGGGTCTGTACACTAATCCCCCACCACCACTTTCTGAACACGGCCCAGGAGGGAGGGGAACCACTGTATAACCCTCAGCTCCCAGCTCCTCTAGACGGTCCAGAATGATGTCGTGGTCAATGGTATCAAAGGCCACTGAGAGCTCCGGCAGAAGCAGGAAACAGCTTTCACCTTTGTCCTTAGTGCGCCGGAGATCATGGACCAGCACAACCAAGACAGTTTCAGTCCCAATATGAGGCCTGATTCCCAACTGGAATGGATCCAAATGGTCCCCATCCTCCAGGCATGCCTGGAGTTCTTCAGCAACCACCAGCTCAATCACATGAATTTCTTCATGGGAAGCTAGACGCCTCTTGGACGAGAAAATCTTTCCACATTTCTTATACACTTCATGCCCTGTACAGTGGTACCTCAAGTTACACACGCTTCAGGTTACAGACTCCACTAACCCAGAAATAGTACCTCGGGTTAAGAACTTTGCTTCAGAGTGAGAACAGAAATCGTGAGGCAGCAGCAGGAAGCCCCATTAGTTAAAGTGGTGCTTCAGCTTAAGAACAGTTTCAGGTTAAGAATGGACCTCCAGAACGAATTAAGTTTTTAACCTGAGGTGCCACTGTATGAATTATTTGATGGCGGATGAGACCTGCCCTCTTTTTGAAGCTGTTCCCACACTCCAAGCAGTGATAGGGTTTCTCCCCTGTATGGATTCTTTGATGGGAAGTGAGGTGGGTGCTGTGACTGAAGCTCTTTCCACAGTCAAAGCACTGATAGCGGTTCCAAGAGCGGTTGCTGAACAGCTTGGTAGGTTTCTGGATGAAACATCTGCTTTGGATCCATTCCAGTCCGGCTTCCGCACTGGTCATGGGACCGAGACGGCTCTGGTCGCCCTAACAGATGATCTCCGTAGGCAGCTGGATCGAGGCGGGTCGGGGCTGCTGATTCTTCCAGATCTGTCAGCAGACTTTGACATGGTCGATCACAAACTCCTGGACCACCGCCTTGCCGACATGGGGATCCAGGGCACAGTCCTTCAATGGCTGTGCTCGTTTCTCTCTGGTCGGGGACAGAGGGTGCCGCTTGGGGGGAATTGTCATCGCCCCACTCCTTGGTGTGTGGAGTGCCTCAGGGTGCAATTCTCTCCCCGATGCTTTTTAACATCTTTATGCGCCCCCTCGCCCAGCTTGTCCGGAGTTTTGGGCTGGGTTGCCATCAGTATGCTGATGACACCCAACTCTATCTGTTGATGGATGGCCATCCTGACTCGGCCCCAGACACACTGACCAGATGTCTGGAAGCTGTGGCTGGATGGTTACGTGGGAGCCGGTTGAAGTTAAATCCTTCGAAGACAGAGGTCCTCTGGCTGGGGCGGGACGATATGGGATTGAGGGGGCAACTCCCATCTCTTGCGGGGGTGCAATTAGTGTCAGCACCGTCCGTTAAGAGTTTGGGTGTAATCTTCGATACCTCCCTTTCTATGGAGGCGCAGATTACAGCTCTAACAAAGGCGGGATTTTTTCATCTCCGCCAAGCTAAGCAGTTGGCCCCTTATCTCTCTCGCCCTGACCTAGCCACTGTGATCCATGCGACGGTCACCTCCAGACTGGATTATTGTAACTCGCTCTACGTGGGGCTGCCCTTGAGACTGACCCAGAAACTCCAGCGGGTGCAGAATGCCGCGGCGAGACTCCTTATGGGGTCTTCGCTGCGAGATCACATTCATCCGGTGCTATACCAGCTGCACTGGCTCCCAGTGGAGTACAGGATCAGGTTTAAGGTGCTGGTTTTAACCTTTAAAGCCCTATACGGCCTAGGACCCTCGTACCTACGGGACCGCCTCTCCTGGTATGCCCCACAGAGAAACCTACGGTCTGCAAATAATAACATCCTCAAGGTCCCAGGCCTCAGAGAGGTTAGGCTGGCCTCAACTAGAGCCAGGGCCTTCTCAGCTGCGGCTCCAATCTGGTGGAATGCTCTGTCACAAGAGACTAGGGCCCTGCGGGACCTGATATCTTTCCGCAGGGCCTGCAAGACAGAGTTGTTCCGCCAGGCCTTTGGTCAGGGCGCAGCCTGACTCCCTCCTCTGGCAACCTGCACAGAATTTTGCTTAATTGGTTGCCACCATTAATTTTTATAATGAAATATTTTTTTAGATTGTATGACTATTTTACTGTTTGATTATTTGATTGTTGTTAGCCGCCCTGAGCCTGGCTTCCGCTAGGGAGGGCGGGATATAAATAAAATTTATTATTATTATTATTATTATTATTATTATTATTGATAGGGTTTCTCCCCTGTATGAATTCTTTGATGCAAAGTGAGTTTGTCCTTCCGACTGAAGTTCTTCTCACATTCCAAGCACTGATAGGGTTTCTCCCCTGTATGAATTGTGTGATGGGAAGTGAGATGGGCGCTCTTACTGAAGCTCTTTCCACATTCAAAGCACTGATAGGGTTTCTCCCCTCTATGAATTCTTTGATGGGAAGTGAGATGGGTGCTCTGACTGAAGCTCTTCCCACATTCCAAGCACTGATAGGGTTTCTCCCCTCTATGAATTCTTTGATGGGAAGTGAGATGGGTGCTCTGACTGAAGCTCTTCCCACATTCCAAGCACTGATAGGGTTTCTCCCCTCTATGAATTCTTTGATGCGAAGTGAGACTGTCCTTCCGACTGAAGCTCTTCCCACATTCCAAGCACTGATAGGGTTTCTCCCCTGTATGAATTCTTTGATGGGAAGTGAGATGGGTGCTCTGACTGAAGCTCTTCCCACATTCCAAGCACTGATAGGGTTTCTCCTCTGTATGAATTCTTTGATGGGAAGTGAGATGGGTTCTCTGACTGAAGCTCTTCCCACATTCCAAGCACTGATGGAGTTTCTCTCCAGTATGAATTCTTTGATGCAAAGTGAGTTTGTCCTTCCAACTGAAGCGCTTCCTACATTCCAAGCACTGATAGGGTTTCTCCTCTGTATGAATTCTTTGATGGGAAGTGAGACTGTAACTGTGACTGAAGCTCTCTCCACATTCAAAGCACTGAAAGGGTTTCTCTTCAGTATGAATTCTTTGATGGGAAGTTAGATGGGTGCTGTGACTGAAGCTCTTTCCACATTCAAAGCACTGATAGGGTTTCTCCCCTGTATGAATTCTTTGATGGGAAGCGAGACTGCTGCTCTGAGTGAAGTTCTTTCCACATTCAAAGCACTGAAAGGGTTTCTCCCCTGTATGAATTCTTTGGTGGGAAGTGAGACTGTCCTTCCGACTGAAGCTCTTTCCACATTCAAAGCACTGATAGGGTTTCTCTCCTGTATGAATTCTTTGGTGGGAAGTGAGATGGGTGCGGTGACTGAAGCTCTTTCCACATTCCAAGCACTGATAGGGTTTCTCTCCTGTATGAATTCTTTGGTGGGAAGTGAGATAGGTGCTGTGACTGAAGCTCTTTCCACATTCCAAGCACTGGTAAGGTTTCTCTCCTGTATGTATTCTTTGGTGGGAAGTGAGAGCCCCACTCTGACGAAACCTCTTTCCACATTCCAAGCACTGATAGGGTTTCTCCCCTGTATGAATTCTTTGATGCAAAGTAAGACTGCCCTTCCGACTGAAGCTCTTCCCACATTCTGAGCACTGATAGCCTTTCTTCCCGCTTTGAGTTCTTTGGTGGGAACGGGAACTCTGACTGGAGCTCTCTCCATACTCCCAATTTTGATTTGGCTTCTCCACTGTGTGGATTTTGTCATGGTCTCCCCCATTCTTCATTTCCAATTCATCACCACCTACAACAAAGACAGAAACTAATTAGATCCTCAGGAAGAAACGGAGCCCCCAATTATTGAACAATGCTAATGAAAATTTCTCAAAGAGGAAGAACAGAGCACAACAGAGCTAAAAGCACAACGTCAGGCAATACCAATGAGATGGAAACATGGAAGGTGCCTAAAGAAGCCAGGGTGGCTATCTAAAGAACTTTTAACCGAGTTAAGATTAAAAAAGGATGTGTACAAAAAATGGAAAAGGGGGGAAACCACCAAAGAGGAATTCAAACAAATAGCCAGCACGTGTAGACACAAAGTCAGAAAAGCTAAAGCACAGAATGAACTCAGGCTTGCTAGAGAGGTTAAAAGCAACAAAAAAGGCTTTTATGGGTATGTTCGTAGCAAAAGGAAGAACAAAGAAACAGTTGGGTCACTCAGAGGAGAAGATGGTGAAATGCAAACAGGGGACACAGAAAGGGCTGAACTCCTCAATTCCTTTGCCTCAGTCTTCTCCGATAAAGAAAACAATGCCCGACCTGAAGAATTTGGAGCAAATGATTCAGCAAAGGAAACACAGCCCAGAATAACTAAGGAGATAGTACAAGAATACTTGGCTAGTTTCGATGTATTCAAGTCTCCAGGGCCAGATGAACTGCATCCAAGAGTATTAAAAGAACTGGCAGATGTGATCTCAGAACCACTGGCAGTCATCTTTGAGAATTCCTGGAGAACAGGCGAAGTCCCGGCAGACTGGAGGAGGGCAAATGTTGTCCCTATTTTCAAAAAGGGGAAAAGAGAGGACCCAAATAATTACCGCCCAGTCAGTCTGACATCAATAGCAGGGAAGATTCTGGAGCAGATCATTAAGCAAACAGTCTGTGAGCACCTAGAAAGGAATGCTGTGATCACCAATAGTCAGCATGGATTTCTGAAAAATAAGACATGTCAGACTAACCTGATCTCGTTTTTTGACAGAATTACAAGCCTGGTAGATGAAGGGAACGCAGTGGATGTAGCCTACCTTGATTTCAGCAAGGCATTTGACAAGGTGCCCCATGATATTCTTGTAAAGAAGCTGGTAAAATGCGGTCTTGACTATGCTACCACTCAGTGGATTTGTAACTGGCTGACTGACCGAACCCAAAGGGTGCTCATCAATGGTTCCTCTTCATCCTGGAGAAGAGTGAATAGTGGGGTGCCACAGGGTTCTGTCTTGGGCCCGGTCTTATTCAACATCTTTATCAACGACTTGGATGATGGACTCAAGGGCATCCTGATCAAATTTGCAGATGACATCAAACTGGGAGGGGTGGCTAACACCCCAGAGGACAGGATCACACTTCAAAACGACCTTGACAGATTAGAGAACTGGGCAAAAACAAACAAGATGAATTTTAACAGGGAGAAATGTAAAGTATTGCACTTGGGCAAAAAAAAATGAGAGGCACAAATACAAGATGGGGGACACCTGGCTTGAGAGCAGTACATGTGAAAAGGATCTAGGAGTCTTGGTTGACCACAAACTTGACATGAGCCAACAGTGTGACGCGGCAGCTAAAAAAGCCAATGCAATTCTGGGCTGCATCAATAGGAGTATAGCATCTAGATCAAGGGAAGTAATAGTGCCACTGTATTCTGCTCTGGTCAGACCTCACCTGGAGTACTGTGTCCAGTTCTGGGCACCACAGTTCAAGAAGGACACTGACAAACTGGAACGTGTCCAGAGGAGGGCAACCAAAATGGTCAAAGGCCTGGAAACGATGCCTTATGAGGAACGGCTAAGGGAGCTGGGCATGTTTAGCCTGGAGAAGAGGAGGTTAAGGGGTGATATGATAGCCATGTTCAAATATATAAAAGGATGTCACATAGAGGAGGGAGAAAGGTTGTTTTCTGCTGCTCCAGAGAAGCGGACATGGAGCAATGGATCCAAACTACAAGAAAGAAGATTCCACCTAAACATTAGGAAGAACTTCCTGACAGTAAGAGCTGTTCAACAGTGGAATTTGCTGCCAAGGAGTGTGGTGGAGTCTCCTACTTTGGAGGTCTTTAAGCAGAGGCTTGACAACCATATGTCAGGAGTGCTCTGATGGTGTTTCCTGCTTGGCAGGGGGTTGGACTCGATGGCCCTTGTGGTCTCTTCCAACTCTATGATTCTATGATTCTATGAACAGAAGTTGTGAGGTCTTTCTACAGAGGCCGTGGCCTTTGTCGACCAGCATTTGTCGACCTCTTTTCTAGGACGGATTTTTGTTGCCACAATCATGAAATCCACTCCAACTCTAACATTGGTCTTCTCTTTAAAATACGGGCAGGGGCTAAAACAGAAACCCAAACCGGACATAAATTACCTCAACTTCCCTAACAACTCTGTGTGTGAATGTTGCCTCCACGTTGCTATGGAAAGGGTGACTGTCACTCCAGAAGGCCGTTTTTTCAGTTAGGTCTGGTCTCAACTGTCGAGTGAGAGAGAGGTTTTCTGTGAGAGCACCTGCTGCCTGTTTTATGCTGCTATGTGCCTCAGAAAAAGTCTGTAAAGTCTCATATAGATAGAAGCACTTGTAATTCCTTCTTCATACCTAATGTAGCGGCATTATTTGATGTTGAATTATTTTGGATTTCTGAGCTTATTGTCTTGAATAAAAAATGGAATAAATGTAGAAATAATCAAAATCAATACATAATAGATATAGATATATTAGATATAAGCACATGCAAACCTGTTTTAGTATATCAAGTAATGTAATGTGTTCTGTATAAACTCTAAACAGAGAATCTTGTGGTGTCTTTTCTAGAATAAAAAAAGCTATGTTTTTCAAGGGTCAAACAACCCAGGGCAACCTCCACACATATAAATACCACAGAAAATGGGTTTGGGGCCCACAAAATCCAGAAAACCACGAATATTCCAGAAAGACAGGTGCAGAGTTGTAAAGTGACACGTTTTACCTCAGAAACTGACATTAACATTTTGACCTCTTTGCCAGTGTACTCTTAATTATCCTCTCAGAAACAATTTTTAAAGGCAGATTGAAAAGTAGAAAGAAATTTTTAGGATGCACATAGGAAGTTTTACACAGTGGAATAGGAGAATGAGAACAGTGTTATACAGATTTGAAATGATACAATGTATTGAGGCAGATGTCTTACTGCCAGAGAAATTCTTCACAATTTAGAGAAAGTTTATAAATTTAGAAGATGTCATCGCAATTTAATAAGAAACTTTTTTGGTCTAAGACATGAAGAAAAGAAAGATTGCCAGAGTCATGTGACAGAATTGTAACTATCATTGAAAAGTTAAAGCTGGCAGAATATTCTATGTCTGAAGAACAGAAAGGGAGCTATATTGTAGGATCTCCTGGGGGGGGAGGAATGTATGTATGGAATTTCAAAACTGATCTTATGATCCAACGGGGAGCTTTACCAAGAGCGTCCAGGATCCCACGATTCTCCTCCTTGACTTCCTCATGCAGAGTTCGTCCTTCTACTGCTGTGTGATGGAGCAGTAACTTTTTTGACACTGGTAGGGCATTCAGGTCACGACACTGGTATTAGACATTTTGAGCTGCCAATACATCGTGGTGGCCGGGGAGCTGTGATGTATTCCTAGCTCAAATTCCCTGCAGATGGCAAAGGCAGGCAGACAGGCAGGTGGTGGAGCCCAAAGAGGTGCTCACCTTCTCAATCTCCACCCGCCTGCCTGCCTCCCCCCACCCCCAGGGTGAGCAAGCCCCAATACCTCTCTGGCTCCATCCCTCCATGTCCCCATCTCCCCTCCCCTGGAACTCACCAGATCTCTCTGAGAGCCCTAGAGAGGAACGCTCAGAGGCTGTGATGAGGGATGCAGGAGACAACCTGACCAGGTCAACCGTCCATCTTCCCCCTTCCATCCTCGCTAGCTTTGCAGGATCCATCTCTTTCATCCTTCCTGAGGAGTCAAGGAGCCAAAACAAGCTGCAGGGTCCTGGGAGACAGGAAGAAGCAAAGGGAGCCTCAGAGGCCCTGCAGGAAAGAAGAAGGAGAGAAAAAGAAGAGTTTGGATTTGATATCCCGCTTTATCACTACCCGAAGGCGTCTCAAAGTGGCCAACATTCTCCTTGCCTTCCTCCCCCACAACAAACACTCTGTGAGGTGAGTGGGGCTGAGAGACTTCAGAGAAGTGTGACTAGCCCAAGGTCGCCCAGCAGCTGCATGTGGAGGAGCGGAGACGCGAACCCGGTTCCCCAGATTACGAAACTACCGCTCTTAATCACTGCGCCACACTGGCTCTCACTGGATTCTCCTGCCCCTGGAACAGCACAAATGGGGCAGCCCCTTCCCAACAGAAACCCCATTTATAAACATTTCCAGTGGTTCCAATTTCCTCTGTTTACTCCTCTCCCCACTTCGTAAGACCGGCATGGTCTGCACAGTAGAGACCTGAGAATAGATCCCATTGAACTAAATGGGGCTTATGGACAGAACTTGGGGCAAAAAACAGGCACCATCTTGTCCCCAAGCCTGAAGACTGCAACGCCAGGCATGCTTATCTATGGTATCATAAGGCAAAAGTTCATAAAAGTTTTCATAGTCATAAAGAGCTGTTAACAGAAAGTGACAACCAATTAAAATCAAAGGGCTTTGAAGAAGTAAGAGAAAATGTAATAGACTGGTTACAATATTTACAACTAAATGAAACTTTTAAAAATCATGAAAAGAAAGGATTTAGTTATCAAGTGTCAAGATTTCAGAGAGAAATAGTAGAAGGTAATACAAAATGGCTGTCAAAAATGAAGGATCTGCTTTTGGAATGGGACACTAAATAGGACCAGGTAAATTGCGTTATGATAAAATGGGTGAAGG